CTGAACCCTTCCCATGGAGGCGAGGTAACATAACTGTGTAGCTGAAAGAGAAGGAGGAGGAGGTTTGAGGAAGAGAAGAGGAGAGATGGGACGTGGTAAGCCTACTGAATGAAGCATGAAGCAATGGACTTAGTTGGAAGATGTATACATTTCTACCAAAGGTCGAAGTTGAATATCTGTACAAGGTTCTGTTTACTATGTCATTTGCTTCCTTCTCCCTCCGTCTATCCGTGGATTCATGCATTTACCCACCCACAAACCTGCCTACCTTCCTAGCCATACAACTGCTGGAAACATAAAACCATTCACTTATTTGGAGGAACTATGCATGTCTGTCAAATGATAAACATATGGAGGCTCCTCATAATTCAAGGCAAGTGATGGAGCTTGGCTACTTCTTGGTGTTGTGAGGAGATGAAGTGTACTTCGACAGGGTTAGGTCAGGTACAGCACTGCATCATGTTACTTCATCTCAAGTAGTTATTGGGAGAACTTTTATTTCTCAAAGGATGAAACTCTAGTTTCACAAGCACATCCGTTTAGAGCTTTGATGGGAAATAGGAGGACTAGATAAATTCAACAAAGTAGGTATTTAACCGGTTGATATTTGAGAGCGTCAAAAACAGGTGTCCCGTTAATTCATAATCCCAAGCAACAGCATTCTATGAGTGCTGCCTTTGCTTTGTTAACTCTACAGTTGGTAATGCCACACAAAGTCCACCTTCAATATTGGCTAGAAGCTTGTTAAAACCTTATTAACAATCCTTTTGGGACGAATCTCAACCGTTTAATAGCTAACTGGGGGTCCTCTCACGTGCACCACCAAGCTAATAGACAGCCTAACATTATCCTTACAAATTTTTTAGACTTATTCGTGTTTTCTTTGGGTAAGGAACACTTTTTTTTTATTTTAGACCGCATTTATTCACTAATGTTCACGCTCTCATGCCGTTGGACAAAGTTCGCCCATTGACGTACCAGTTGGTGGTAGTTTTGTTACAAAGTAGCCCTCATTTCAAACTCCCATATGGTATATTAGGCATTTGTAGCCCAAAATGTTTGTCTTGCAGTTGAATGAGGTACTTGTCTGTCTTAGTCTAATTTAACCACCACTTCTCTTACAGTCCATCTATGTATGACGAACAGTTACTTTAAGTAAGAAAAGGCTAATTTCTCTCAGAATGTATGCTGTAGCACCCCAAAACTTCTCTGAAGATAAAAATGGTTTAATACTAGGGAGGAATAAATATTTCTGACGCACAGAAGGGTTGAGGTGATGGCCACTGGCATATCCCGGAGGCCATGCCACTTAGCGGAAGTATAATAGCGTCGCCTTAAGTGACCGAGAAGACGAATTGAAGAGTTAAGCAAACGATCGGAGTGTCGCAACATTTGTAAGAAGAGATATGCATAAAAAACCACATATATGTATAGTAGTAATCATGCCCATGTTACAAAATTTTACTCAATGGTAGGTCTTAATCTTCAGTCAAAGTGCGTCCCCACTTTCGAGGACATCATAACACTTCTCTGAAGAATACTAAGAAAGTTTTTTGATCTAAA